CTGCTGGAGATACTGGGGGAAGGGGTGGGGGTGGTAGAATCCCATCGTGGCAGTTGAAAGCAGAGTCAGGGAAATACTGATGTATTTGCTTAGTTCTCAATTGCCATCAATTTGCAAATATATCAAAGTTTTTAAAAATATTTTATTTATTTCTGAGAGAGAGAGAGAGAGAGACAGCGTGAGCAGGGGAGGGTCAGAGAGAGAGGGAGACACAGAATCTGAAACAGGCTCCAGGCTCTGAGCTGGCTGTCAGCACAGAGCCCGATGCCGGGCTCGAACCCACTAACTGTGAAATCATGACCTGAGCCGAAGTCGGACGCTTTAACCGACTGAGCCACCCAGACGCCCCTCAACAGTTTAATTAAAACATTTTGGCCAAACAAAACACTACTTTATGCACTTGCAATTTTTAAAATTAACTGATAACAGCATTTATTTAAACATATAGTCACATACAACTTTCTTCTTCAATATCATGGTCATTGTTAAAGGAATGCGTTTTTCACATTCAGGGTCTATAGATTGTTCTGAATTATTTAGGCAATTTACAGTTACATGTAGCATCCTAAACACTTTGCTTTTTAAAATCATACAGCTTTAGCATTAATTGAGAAATATTAGCATTTGATCTACATTCCTTTTTGGCTAAACTTCAGTTACATTTGTTCCTAAATTAAATTACCAACTCAGTTTGATCTCTTGAACATCACCCGGAAATCTTTGATGTTCGGCGTTGGGGTGATAATTCTTTAATCATCCATTCAGTTAATATTTACTGAAGGCCTCCTGAATTGCCAGTCTCTGTGCTTACAGAATTGACAGTGTGGAGAGAGAGATGAGCATAAAATCAAGTGCACAGATAAATAAATAAGATTGTAATAGATTCAGACAATAGAACTTCAGCTAAGGTGGTTGGAGAGGACTCTCCCAGGAGGCCATATGTAAGGTAGATGATGAGAGAACCAACATTGCTGAGTCAGGATGAAGCCTTCCTGTCAAGCCAGCCCTTCCGTGTGTGAAGATCCTGTCTGTTCGGTAACAACTGTTTGGTGAGTGTCTGCTACATGCCAGGCACTATTCTAGCCGCTGGAGATACAGCAGTGAACAGAATAGCAGACAACATCCCTTACCCTGTGGAATTTATATTCTATTAGGGGACATAGAGAAAGAAAGACTGAAAAGAAAGAAAAAAACTGAAAACACCACTAGTATGTCAGATGCTAAGTGCTATGGTGAAAAATGAAGCCTTGAAGGGAAGTTGCCAGTTGGGGAGGGTGTGTATGTGTGTGGAGTGCCACTGGTAAAAATGTTAAATCTCGTTGTCAGGGAAGGCCTCGCTAAGAGATTGAACTTTGAGCCGGAAACGGAGATCTTTGGTCTAGCCCAGGGCTGGCACACTTAGTTTGTAAAGGACAGACTTTTGAGGTTTGGGGAACCACGTGGCCTCTGTTGCCGCACTCAGCCCTGCCTTTCTGGGGCCAAAGCAGCCACAGTCAGTATGGAAATGAGTGGGTATGGCCGTCCTCCAATACAGCTTTATTTATGGACACTGAAATTTGTATTTAATGTATTTTTTACATGTCATGAGATACTATTAGTTTTCTTTCTTTTCCAACCCTATTTAAAAGTATCCCATTTTAGGCCATGGTCCATACAAAACCTCTTGTGAGCTAGACCTAGCCTGTAGGTCTAGCTCACAGTTTGCCTTCCCATGATCTAGCCTCAGAGATTTCCAAGTACTTATTCCCTTTGGTTGCTTTGGATGATGTGTAATGGTGTGTGTTTGGATAACAAAATAAAATCTAACCCTCGTGCTGTTGTAGATATCTTCCTGTTTGGGGTCCAACAACTGTTTTTTTTTTTTTTCTCCCTCTCACCCCCAGTGGTGGTTTTATGAATAATGAAAATCCATATTTATTCAGTGACACATATTCATTTCATTTAAATTTTTGTCTTACAGCTTTTATTTCTAGGCTCTGCTATGCAGTAATAGCTTTAATTTTCAATCCATCATACTATAGTATTTCTGAAGACATTTTAAGTAGCAGTTAAGAATTTCTTCAGGTGGCATTGCGTTTGGGTGCAAGCTATAGAAAAACTTGGTAGAGTGGCTTAAGCAATTAAGAGTTTATTTGTCTAATACAGAAAGGTTTAGAGTGGGCTGCTCAAGACTGGTGTGGTGGCTGTAAAATATCATCAAGGACCCAAGCTCCTGTCTTTCTGCTTGACCATCCTTAGCATATGGTGTTTGTTTTCACATTTGCAAAATGGTTTTTGCACCTCCAGGCACCATGTCTGCATTTTGGCAAGAGGAGAGAGGACATATTGGGCTTTGTGGTTTTATTCATTAAGTGGAGCCTTCACGAAAACATCTGCCTTCTGTTTCGTTCTGTGTCATGATCCCTGGCTGCAGAGAAGTCTGGATAAAACAAGTTTTTGTAGCAGAGCACATAGCTTTCCTAAACAATACCAGCCTTCTATGATTAAGAAAGAAAGGGAGATTGGGGTACCTGGGCGGCCCAGTCACTTAAGTGCCTACTTCTGCTTAGGTCACAATCTCACGGTGAGTTCGAGCCCCATGTCGGACTCTGCTGACATCTCGGAGCCTGGAACCTGCTTCAGATTCTGTCTCCCTCTTTCTTTGCCCTTCCTGGGCTCGTGCTCTCTCTCTCTCTCAACAAATAAATAAAAACGTTAAAAAAAAAAAAAAAAGGGAAATTGACTACTGGGTAAAAAACTAGCATTATCTTCCATGGCTTCTAAGTGTGTTAAAAAAACAAAAAACAAAACAAAACAAACACCCCCTGAGTTATAGGTTATCTTCCACTCATCGCTAAATTGACACGGGTGAAGGCAGCAACTGTTGCCCCACAGTTAACGTTTCTCCCGCTTGCTCTTCAAATGCCTTTTGATATTGATTTAAGGTGCATTTTGTTTCGGGATAGTTGAAATGTGGGGAGGAAAAAGCCCTTTGAGTCAAGGAAATGATGGTATATGTTATTGTTACTTGAACTCTGGGTTGATGCCAGCACATGCAGCGTCCCTGGCAGCTTCCTGTTGCCACATGGGAAGCCTTTCTATTACCTGGGGTCCCACCCAGCAGTTCCATCTCTTCACCCAAGTCCCTGCCACCTAAGCCTGGGCTCCCACAGTTCCAGGCCATGTTCACCTCAGCAGATTTTTTTTTTTTTTAACTTTTTTAATGTTTTATTTCTGAGAGAGAGAGAGAGACAGCATGTGCAGGGAGGGACCGAGAGAGGGTGAGATACAGAATCTGAAGCAGGCTCCAGGCTCTGAGCTGTCAGCCCAGAGCCTGACGCGGGGCTTGAACCCACGAACCACGAGATCATGACCATGAGATCACGACCTGAGCCGAAGTCAGAAGCTTAACCACCCAGCTGAGCCACCCAGGCGCCCCCACCTCAGCAGATCTTAAAGTAGCTCCTGGTGTCCACTCGTGACTCCTCTTCCTTCCTAATACTAATGCCACAGATACCCACTTGAAAACTTGCTTCTCTGGGTTAAATTTTCTGCTTTGTTTATTTGAGTGATTTGCTGTAGTATTGGTTAATTTTCTGTGGCCTTAGCCCTTTTTTTTAAAAAAAAATTATTTTTCATCATTTGGCCTTTCTTAGAAGTGTGAGTAAACATGGACGCCAAGGAGCAACAACGTGCTCTGAGTCCTGGGGCTTCATGTCCTGTTGGAAAACCCGATTTATATAAAACACCACATCTCTGTGGCTACATACTAACTACTGTTCCCTTCTATGTGAAGCTCTCTTTCTCTATGTAATTTTCTTCTATTTAATCTTTTGAATATTGACATTTTCACACTATTCAAAAAAGTTTACAGTTTACACATGAAGAAAGCTAAGACTTTTGTTCCCATTTTTTCTCCGTCACCCCAGTCCCTATTTCCCTAGCTCCCAAGCAACTATTTCTGTTAGTTTTTTTATAGAACCTTCAAGAGCTTATTTTAATATAAGTACGAATGTATTCCTTTATTTCTCTATTTTTAAAAAATGTTCTGAGTCTATGCCCAATTCTGTTCCTTGTGTTTTTTTCACTTACTAATCTATCTTGGAGATCTTTTCATAGCAGTGTTAAGAGTACTCTCAATTCCTCCTGGGGCGCCTGGGTGCCTCAGTCGGTTAAGCATCTGACTTCAGCTCAGGTCATGATCTCACAGTCTGTGGGTTCGAGCCCCGCGTTGGGCTCTGTGCTGACAGCTAGCTCAGAGCCTGGAGCCTGGTTCAGATTCTGTGTCTCCCTCTCTTTGCCTCTCCCCCGCTCGCTCTGTCTCTGTCTCTGTCTCTGTCTCTCTCTCTCAAAATAAAATGAAGACTTAAAGAAAATTAAAAAAAAAAAAAAAGAACTCCTCCTTTTTTCTTTTTAAGTTGCATAGTATTAAAGTGATCTCTTTGAAACCCAAACCTGGTCATGCCTCCCTTGCTTTCCTCTTTTAAAACAGAGATATAATTATTTACATTTTATACTCTGTATGCTGTCAATTCTCACCATTATTAGTAACTGCCCTTTGCTTCTTGAGCATTGTTGGTGTGTAATGATGCATTTTAATTTTTTTTTTTTTTTACTTTAGAGAGTTCAGGAGTGTATGTCTGAGTGGGGAGGTACAGAGAGGGAGGGAGGAGGCAGGGAGAGAGAGAGAGAGAGAGAGAGAGAATCCCAAGGAGGCTCCATGCTCAGCTCACAGCTCAGTGTGGGGTTCAGTCCCATGACCCTGGGATCATGACTGGAGCTGAAATCAAGAGCAGAATGCTCCACTGACTGAGCCACACAGGAGCCCTTTGACTTTTTTTTTTTTTTTTTTTTTTGAAACAGCAACCAATTTGTTTCTCTCCCCATGCCTCAATTTTTTTGGAGATATAATTGACATGTAATATTGTATAAGTATAAGGTATATAATAGGATGATGCAATATTTGTATATATTGTGAAATGATTACTATAATTAGGCTAATTGACACATCATTCATCTCACATTGTTTGAATTTTAATATTCTGTGATACATCTTTCAGATACTGGCTGTAAGGAGGGAGGGGTGTTGAGACACGGACATTTTCATACATTGCTAATGAGAACATATTGACAAGGACTTGTTGAAAAGCAGTTAGCATGGGTCCACCAGGAGCCTGAAGAAGCCTCTGTCCTTTGATCTGAGTTCATTCATAGGGCTTTGTCCTAAAATAGTATTGAGAGATATAGTCAAATATTTTTAAATATAATGATGTTGACCACGTGATCTCTGGTGCTAAAAGTTGCAAATATGCCTACTAGCAATAATTGAATAGTAGTTAACTGAAAACATCTACATGATACATTGCTAGGCAGATATAAAAATGCATGCTTTTGAAAAAAAAAGTGCTTATTTGAGAGACAGTGTGTGTGTATGAGAGCAAAGAAGGGGCAGAAAGAGGGAGAGAATGCCAAGCAGTCTCTGTGCTAAGAGGCTCAATCCCAGGAACCATGAGGTCATGACATGAGCTGAATCAAGAGTTGGATGCTTAACTGACTGAGCCACCCAGGCGCCCCTGAAAAAAATTTAATGACAGGACAGTACACAGAGTATATTCTCGAATGAAAGGGCAAGGCCCACCTCTTTTTATCGAGTGTGATCCTATGAAAGGAGTGACCAGTGAGCAGTAGGAGATTATAGTTAAGCAATAAGTGGTGTGTGTGTGTGTGTGTGTGTGTGTGTGTGTGTGTGTGTAGGGCTAGGAGGCTGGGATGTAGAGAAACTGTGTATGTGTCTTTGATATATCCTAGTATTAAAAGTATGTAAGTTTTAAGGTATTCATCTTTCAAGGTAGATGTGGAGGTGGAGTGGATATTATATATGTATATATATTATATGGAAAACTAAGGTTTGCCTGTGTGTCAGGTTCACTTTTGATCACTCCCATGAACATTTGAAATGTGTTGGATATGTAAAGCTCTACATATGCACATTACATTAAAACCATTTCCTCTAAATAATTTTTGAAAGGATTGTGGGTAACTTTTTGTTTGCTTGTTTTATAATTTCTAGACTCTTAAAAATGCAAATACATTGCTCTTATAATCAAAGGAGCTGAATCATGAAGGACATTGTGCTGTGCTAAGAAATGTATGTGTTCTTCCAAGAGCAGTCATTTAAGAAGGATTTTAAATAGGAGAATGACATGATTATCATGACAAGAACACATATTAAGACCTCCATAAAATAGGTGACCAGTTTTGACCTCAGCATCAACCTTGTTTATTTGTCTTGTAGAGTTGTAAGGGGAAATTAAATAGGATGGCTAATACTTTTTTTGCAAGCCACATTTCGAAATAATAGAACTATATTTCTGCAAGTGTGTATCAGTGAGGGGAAAAAGTTGACTTATTCAGAAATGAGAAATAGCTTGGTTCAAGAAACTAGATAATGTATCCATTTTGATTTATAACCATACACTAGCTCTCTTGTTTTCTCATATCATTGAGTGTAAAGATACTCTATTTTGCTAGCTTTGCATTTCTGTCCATGCTAACAGTACAGTCTTGTTAGTCATTCAGACTTCAACCCAGTGATCAGAATCTCTTTGCTCATGACCTGCAACAGATTTCCTCTCAGAAGCACATGTCATTGAGGCTTTTGGGAGGAAATTAGTGGAGGCAATCAGTGTGTGAAAGTTTGTTCTTCAAGCATTTTATTTTCTAGATGAGAGGTCTTTTCTGGCAGCTGGCCCTCTCAGAATGATTCTTTTCTTTGGCCATTATAAAATTGACTTCACCATTTAGGCTGTGTTAAGTCTCTGTGTGTACATTTCCTAGAATCATTGAGAAAAAACAAGCATGTTGTCTCCTGTTTTACATGCTATGTTTAAGATATTGAATATTGTCGCCCCATCTGAATTATTTAATATGTACCCTTAAAAAAGACTGGTAAGATTTTGAAAACCTTCAGATGTGTGTGAGGCTCTCAGGAGCACACCTGACCCCTAGTGACTGAAGAAGGAAACACGAAGATGAGAGGAACAAAGAGGGTTAAGGAACAGAGAGTTCAAAGTCAGCTGATGCTTGTTGTTTACTCTCACCTTAGAAGTGGAGAACATTTTTCTCTGGTGAATTGATGAAAGGGTGCTTTCATGATGGTGGCTGCAGCTGTGGAATACCTGAAAGAAGCTGCTGAAGGGAATAAAAATGTTGCTGCTTCTGGGAACCAAGGAAATGTCGACATCTCCGATGGCCTCTCCCTGGTTTTCTAATGGTTTCAGCAGAGGGAGCTTTCATGACTGTAAATGTCAGCTTCTGTAACGAGAGGGGCAGTGGTTTGTCCCCCTGAGAACGGAGTCCCTCACCTCATGCATAATCTGATCCTTCCAGGCCATCAGGGCTGTGCCCCAGAGTTCCGGGGAATCTAGGTGAAGAAATCATCGTGTCAGAGCTTGCCTAGACTTCGGTTGGATATTCAGTGAGTGGATGGTGCATGGTGCCTGCGAAAATTGCTGCTTGGTTTTGCATCAGTGACCTCTGACAATGAGAAATCAAATCTAGTTCAACTTAGAAATACCTACATATCGTTTCAGATGAGCATTTCTCCTTATTTGTTTGTCTTCTCTCTTTAGATAAAGAAGAAACAGCAGGATGTGGTTAGATTTCTGGAAGCCAACAAGATAGAGTTTGAGGAGGTGGATATCACAATGTCAGAAGAACAGAGACAATGGATGTACAAAAACATCCCCCCGGAAAAGAAGCCTGCTCAGGGCAACCCTCTGCCACCTCAGATATTTAACGGTGACCGATACTGTGGAGTAAGTAGCTAGACTGTTACCACACTGTTTCTTTGCGTGATTCAAAATACAGTTAACCTAGAGTGACGCTGGGTTTTCTCAGTGAGGACTGTGACCTCTTCACCCTGTGCCATGCAGGTCCACAATCTAATAAAAGGATATATGAGTCCCAGGTCACAGACTGTGTGTGAATGTGAATACATACATGTCATAGTGTTCCTGTCTCTCTGTTGGGGGAAAGTGGTGGGAAGGGAAGGTGTGTGTGTGTGTGTGTGTGTTGCTCTAAATTTTAAAGCATATATGTTTTTTAAGTTTATTTTAGAGAGACAGAGAGAGCAGGGGAGGGGCAAAGAGAGAGGGAGAGAGAGGATCTCAAGCGGGCTTCACACTGTCAATGCAGAGCCAGAAGCAGGACTCAGACTCATGAACCACGAGATCATGACCTGAGCCAAAATCAAGAGTTGGATGCTTAACCAAGTGAGCCACCTGGGTGCCCCTCGAAGCATTTTTTGATTATTACCTTTTGGGGGCAGAGTGGATGGAGTAATTATTCTTGAATCTTTATCCCTCCGTAATATAAAAAACTGCTAACAGCCGATTATAAACCAGAGTTTCTTTTTTTTTTTTTTTTAATATTTTTATTTATTTCTAGGAGAGAGAGAGAGACAGTGTGAGCAGGGGAGGGTCAGAGAGGGAGACACAGACTCTGAAATAAGGCTCCAGGCTCTGAGCTGGCAGTCAGCACAGAGCCCGACACGGGGCTCGAACCCATGAACTGCGAGATCATGACCTAAGCGAAAGTCGGACGCTTAATCGACTAAGCCACCCAGGCGCCCCCAGAGTTTCTTTTCTTATGCTAATGAGCCAGATCGACCATTATGAACATTGAAAATACATTATTAGGTGCCTTCCTCCTGTACGTAGTATATGAGAAGATGAAGTCACCTCTGTCTGATTATCTCTTTTCCTTCCCACTGGGTTAAGAAAAAAATAAATCGAGACATTTCTTCCTAATGAGTAGTGAAGGTTTGCCTTTTGTCATACTCTCAGTATAGAAGTCAGTATTTATTTTGGGACCTGTACTCCAGTTCTTTAGGGATGGCCTGGGGAAGGGGAAGGGCCACCAGCGCTGAGGCGCTTAAGGTGAAATAAATAGCTGGGTTTAAGAGTGGAGAAAAGGGATAATAGTGCTTTTGGTACCCTGAGATGAAACCATTCCCCTGTACATAGAGAGACAGAGATAGAGATTGTGCACAGAGTTCCTACCTTCATGTCGGAGGAGAACCCTGAACGTGGCACTAGACTTAGATTTGAGCTCTTGTATTTTATGTTGCCTTTGACAACTTTGGAAAGTCATTTTTCTCTTAAAGAATCAATTTTCTTACTTTTTTTTGAAATTTTATTTTGAGAGAAAAGAGAGAGTGAGTAGCTGAGGGGGCAGAGAACGAGGAAGAGAATCTGTGCTGTCAGTGCAGAGGCTGATGCAGGGCTCCATCCCATGAACCATGAGATCATGACCTGAGCCAAAATTGAGGGTTGGATGCTCAACTGACTGAGCCACCCAGGCATCCCTCAGTTTTCTCCTCTTGAACAAAGGATGATAATAGCTATTTTACTTCACAGGATATTTGTGACTAAAAAGTACGTTTTAAGCACATTATTATATAAGAATAAAGATCATTACTTTTGTGGAATTTTTTTATATTGTGATCACATATGTTATTAGAGGAAGTATATGGTAACTGAGGGTGTACCCCATTCATGATTACAAGGCCTAGAAAATGCACTCTTGCAAACCAAAATGAGGCATAGTTGAAAATGTGTGTGAACTGTACAGTTCAAATCAAAGCAAAGCTGTGAGTGAAATAGTGCTAGAAGGCTAAACAAAAAACTCATAGCTTTCTGTTCTTCAGACTTGGCAGGTGTGAGAATTCCTTTGTTCTGGTCTGGTAATTTGGCTAGTGACAGAATTTTAGGTTGGAAAGAATTTTGATGGTTTTGCTTCATTATCACCTGGTTTCTAGTGCTGCAGTTGAGAAGTCTGGTGACATTTTCCTTGATCATTTGTACGTTTTTGCCAGTTTCTTCTATGCAGATTTTTAATATCTCTTAACCGTATGTGTATCCTAAAATTTTATGATGAATTTCCATGATGTGATCTATTTTTCATTCACTGCACTGAGTGCTCAGTAGGTCCTTATCCAAGAACTACATAATTAATAAATGTTTTTATAGTATACTTTTTTAATATTTTTATTTCTAGGAGAGAGAGAGAGAGAGAGACAGCGTGAGCAGGGGAGGGTCAGAGAGAGAGGGAGATACAGACTCTGAAATAGGCTCCAGGCTGTGAGCTGGCAGTCAGCACAGAGCCTGACGCAGGTCTCGAACCCACGAACCGCGAGATCATGACCTAAGTGAAAGTCGGACACTTAACCGACTAAGCCACCCAGACGCCCCTTTATAGTATTTTTCTGAAAAAAATTTCCCTGCTTACTCTTGTTCTCTTTATCTGGCATACATATTAATTAAAAAGTTTTTTAATATTTATTTTTGAGAGAGAGAGAGAGTGCGAACAGGGAAGAGGCAGAGAGAGAGGGAGACATAGAATCTAAAGCAGGCTCCAAGCCTGCTCCAAGCTGTCAGCACAGAGCCTGATGCAGAGCTAGAACTCGTGAACTGTGAGATCATGAGCTGAGCTGAAGTCGGACGCTTAACTGACTGAGCCAGTCAGGCACCCCTGGAATACATATTAATTTAAATAATGGATTTCTTACATCGATTTTCTAATATTCTTATCTTCTTTCTTATTTGTTGTTTTGTTTATTTATTTATTTATTTTTGTATTGTCCTCTTTATTTCTGGGAGATTTCTTTAACTTACCTCTGAATTTTTTCATTCAATTTTTATGTCATCTTTTTTTTCCTCTCTTACATTCTGATTTTTTCTTTTTATTAATTTTTTTAATGTTTTATTTATTTCTGAGAGAGAGAGAAGGGGAGGGTCAGAGAGAGGGGGAGACACAAATCTGAAACAGGCTCCAGGCTCTGAGCTGGCTGTCAGCACAGAGCCCGACGTGAGGCTCGATCCCACGAACCGTGAGATCATGACCTGAGTTGAAGTCGAACGCTCAACTGACTGAGCCACCCAGGCGCCCCTGATTTTTTTCTTTTTAATAATGTGCTTTTATGAGAGGAGTACCAGATCTTAGTTCAGTGGAGATATTTAATATGATTTCTTTGCGGTCTTCTTCTCTTACCACTACTGCCCCCGTCCTCCTAATTCCCTTGTTTTCCCTTCGTTTATTGTAGTCTTTTCTAACAAGTGTGGTTGGCTTTCCTCAGATCTCTAGTCATCCTGGTCTTTTGTTTATTTAAGAGGTGAGGCACTAGAAAGCTAATTAGAAGCTGCAGGTATCTTTATATACCCGTGTGGGCTTGTACCCGCCTCCCCCCTTCCCCACTTCCCTGTAGGGATGATTGGGTAGCCTGTTAGCATTCTCACTGCAGATACTGATAATAAAATCCGTAGGTCTTTTCTCAGATGATGGTTTAGCTTTTCCAGAGAACGGCCCTTCAATCTCTTGCTTTGGGGATATCAGACTGGCTCCTGGGGTTCTGGACCTGAAGGGTGAGACACTGGAGGCTCTCCCTCTCTGCCATGCACAGTTTCCCTTCATAGCCCTTCATATCTCTCTTCCATGCTGGCGTTTCTAATGTTGCTTCCAGAAGCCATGTTCATTAAGAGTGTACCTTCTAGCTCCTTTGGGGGAGAGTGAGGCACCCTGGGAATCTAACTGCTGCTTATGTAGACTTTCAAACCGTCTCATTTCCCTGCTTTGCCCACTCCCCCCACCCTCACCGTAGCTGATGCCTCCAGCTCCTGATGTTTTTGAGGTGCCTGCAGCTTGTGTCTTGTTGATGCTGCTTTGCAAACACTGAGGTTTGACCATCCTCTGCTCTCTAATGCCCCTCTCTCTGTCCCTGCTTTCTGCGTATGTTGTGGTTCAGAGCTATAAGATGTCTCCTAGTTTTAATTTTTAAAAATGGTGTTTCTGGTTTTTTTTTTTATTGTTTTGTTGATTTTTCAAGATAAAGGAGGAAGAGACATCTTTGCTCTATCATCCTGAAAGTAGAAGTCTTCAGAGCCCTTTGAATAGAGGAGTGTATGAATGAGTAAAAGACTGTAGTCTGAAATAGAGTGAATTGCTTAACCTTGCTTTCACTTCTTTATGACTTTCTAAATCTCTGTGTATCTTTGCTCTACAGAGTCTATGAAGAGTTTTTCAGATAGACTGGCTGGGAGCCGGCTAGAGGCTTACACATTGATTAAAGTGCTGGATAAATGGCATCTTCCCTGCTTGAGCAGCGTTAGCCCCATGGTGACAGGGACAGCAGTGCTGGTACACACTCTGTCTTTACAGTCTGTTCTAGCAGGAGTTTTGAAGACAGTGTCTGCTCATCACGGTCAAGTAAATTCAACTTTGACAAAAGCAAAAGCATTAGAGAGCAACTAACCATGGTCACATTCATCCTTCCTGCCCCTGTGCACCTTGCTTTACCCAGTGATAGTTCATGAGTGGTCTTATCTGGTTGGGTAACTCGTGGAAACTGCCACATTGGAAGTGACAGGATCCAGTGAGCAAGAAGATTCTCCTATTTCCTGGAATTGGCTGGAAACCTACTACTGTGTAGTATTTTAAACAGGGTGAGGTAGGCATGTGAGACATAAACATCTGCTAAGCTACTCGATAAGCTACTTGATATCTGCACTGTAGGTAATTTCCTTTTCTCTTCCTTTTAGTGTTTGAATGTCCCGTCTGTTGGAAGAATTCCCCACTGAAAGGAAGCTCCTGGGCATGCCCAGTCAGTTCTTCCCAACACAGGATCAGTTGGGCAGGGGTCTTAGGGTGAGGAATAGCCATGGCTGGTGTCCTCATGGAGCTGACCCTGGGGTGTGGCCTGGGTGTGTTCTTGGCTACCCAGACACAGAACTCTTCTTATAAAGTGGTTTTCCAGCTTTCATGTGGATTCAGAACTTCCCACTGAACTGCCATAAATTCCTTTCCTGTTAAGTTGCTAATGTCCATTTTGGTTGTTTGTGGTCAAGAACGCAAACTGCACAGACTGGTTATTCTTGCTATTTCCTGGGAGCATCCCTACCAGTAGCAAGACTCTTCTCTGGAAATGGGTAATGGAAAGGTGAAGGTAAACATCCCACTGCCTAGGCTTTTCTGACGGGTTTTAGTGTCTGATTTTGATTTTGGAAAGCTTAGGTCTTCACATCTAGGGTTTAAACTTTGTTCTCTCTCTGTGGAACTGGCCTGTGTGGAGTGCACCAGAAATGAAAATGCGCACATCTACATGAAAGGAAAATATTTACTCCCCTTTCATTTCTTTTCTCCCTTCCTATTAAGGAAAAAAAAAAAGATTTGGATTTTCAAAATATATTTTTATGTATTTTTTATTAAAAATGTTTATTGTAGGGGCGCCTGGGTGGCTTAGTCGGTTAAGCGTCCGTCTTTCGCTTTGGTCATGATCTCGCGGTTCGTGGGTTCGAGCCCCGCGTCGGGCTCTGTGCTGACTGCCAGCTCAGAGCCTGGAGCCTGTTTCGGTCTGTGACTCTCTCTCTCTCTGACCCTCCCCTGCTCACGCTGTCTCTCTCTCTCTCTCCTAGAAATAAATAAAACATTAAAAAAAATGTTTATTGTGGTAAAAACGTATGTTGTAAAACTTATGTGTTACTTACTTTTAAGTGTACAGTTTAGTAGTGTAAAAAATATTCATTGTTGTAAAACAAATATCCAGAACCTTTTCATCTTGCAGAAATGAAACTCTATACCCATTAAGTAACTCTTATTTGTCCCCTCCCCTCCAGAACTTGATAACAATTATTCTGCTTTCTATCTATGAATTTGACTATGTTAGATACCTTGCAGAAATGAAATCATACAAGGGTGGCTGGGTGGCTCAGTAGGTTGAGCATCCGACTTTGGTTTGGTTTATGTCATGATCTTGAGATTCATGAGTTTGACCTCTACATCGGTCTCTGTGCTGACAGCTCAGAGCCTAGAGCCTGCTTCAGATTCTCTGTCTCTCTCTCCTCTGCCCCTCCCCTGCTCTGTCTCTCTCAAAAATAAACATTAAAAAAAGAAGTGAAATCATAAAATGTTTGTCCTTTTGTGACTAATCATTTCACTTAGCATAATGTCCTCAAGGTTTATCCATGTTGTATGTCTTAGACCATTAAGGCTGCTACAACAGAAATGCCACAGATTGGCTATTTTGTAAGTAATAGAAAATCACTTCTCATGGTTCTGGAAGCTGCAAGTCTTAGATCAGGGTGACAGAAAGGTTGGGTTCTGGCAGAGGCGCTCTTCTGATTGCAGAGTGCCAACTTCCTGAAGTGTCCTTACGTGGTGGTGAAAGGGGACAAGTGAGCTCTTTTATAAGGACATTATTCCTATCCTTGAGGCGTCCACTCTCATGACCTGATCACCCCCTAAAGGCCTTTGGGCATCAGGATTTCAACATGTGAATTTTGGGGGGATACCAACATTTAGCCTATAGCACTGAAAGCATGTGAGAACATTTCATTTCTTTTTAAAGCTTCCATTGTGTTTATATACCATATGTCTTGTCTATTCATTTATTGATGGATTGGGTTCCTTCTACCTCTTGGCTATTGTGAATAGTACTGCTTTGAACATGGGTTTGCAAATAATTGTTTGAGATTCTGTTTTCAGTTGTTTTGTATATATATGTTTATACACATATACAGAGAGAGGTGGGATTGTTGCATCATATGGTAGTTCTATTTTTAATTTTTTGAAGAAACATCATTCTGTTTTCCCATAGTGGTTGTGACATTTTACAGCCCCATCAGCAGTGCACAAGGATTCCAACTTGTCTGTATCACCACCAGTACTTGTTTTCTTTTGTTTGTTCCATCTTGTTTGGAGAATACCCATCTTAATAGGTATGAGGTGATATCTCATTGTGATTTTGATTTGCATTTCTTTGATGATTAGTGATGTTGAGCATTTCATACACTTATTGCCCAATTCTATATCATTTTTGGAGAAATATCTGTTCAAGTCCTTTGCCCATTTTTTAATTAGGTTATTTGACTTTTTTTGTCATTCAGGGATTTTTTTTTTATATTTATTTTGAGAGAGAGCGTGTGAGAATGCACACGTGTGCGCCATGGAGGGGTAAAGAGAGGAGACAGAGAATCTCAAGGAGGCTCCATGCTGTCAGTGCAGCATGAAATGTGAGATCCTGACCTAAGCCAAAATCAAGAGTTGGATGCTTAACTGATTGAGCCACCCAGGCACCCCAATGGCAGAAAATTTTTATAGAAAAATACCATTTTGATCATTTTCCATGGGGCAACTTATAAGATTGTTTATATCTTAAAACTGTAAATTACTGTTTTGGTACTTTTAGATGATACGTGTAGAATATTAAATTTGTACCTAAGCATTGGGTCTACTGCTAATCGTAAGTTTATATTAGAGCTGTTGACTAGTTTAAATGATTATGATTTAATAATGATTTGCGGGCCAACTCTGCCTGCCTTTCCTCATATTACCTTGGTTAACTGGAGCCCGAAAGTAGACTAGAGATGGGTTAGATTACTTTTAAGGATGTGCAGAAAGGCTAAATGACCAGCAGTGGTTCCTTGTGGCATCTGTTCTTTCCTGTGAAAGGAGACAAGGAGATGTGTTAGTGTCTTCTTACCATTGGTGGAAGCTTAGAAGAACCCCACAGAGCACCTACATACATTTAGGTGTATGTAGACGTATTGTTTCCAAATGCAGTGTAATGTAAGACTTCTGAGAAGATTGTCTTGGGATAATGTATTTTAAAAGTGTGTTTGGGTATCTTGTTGAAGCACACCGACCCACTTCCCATAATTATCAGTTTTCAAATCCCTGATTCATACATATGATTTTATTTTTTAAAAAATCATGTATTTGAATTTAAATATATTGAATTTGAACACATATATATGTATATATCTGAATATATTGAATTTGAACACACACACACACATCTCGACACATAAATATAAAAAATGACTTTCAGCCAAAAGTCTCATAAGTTGTTGGAAAGAGATATTAAAAGTGATTTTCATACTGAGTTGGTTGTCCAACATTATTGTTGTTGTTTTTTCTTTTTTTCTTAGCACTAAAATGAGTATGGAAGTAGAGAAAATTTGGAAAATGAGAATGAGGAAAGGGGAACAATAAATACTGCCTTTCGAACACAACTGCAAACATTTAGTCAATGCACATTCTCTTTTCTTACAAGTTGATTTAAATTTTTAAAATCACATTTTTTGATCATATTATATATACCATTTTGTGCCCTGCTTTGTTCTCTAATAAAAATAGTTTCCATCTCATTGTAAGCCTAATTTTTAGAGGTTACATATTATTCTGAGGTTGGATGATTATAATGAACTTAATCATTCCCTCACTGTGGGCTATTTAGTTGTTTCCAGTCACTTAGAATAATTGTTTGCAACTGGCAAGCTTTTCTGAAGAATGTTATTTTATAAAGTACATTTTCATTTAAGCTGTTCTACTCTTTTCCTTTCCTTAGAGTCATTTTTCTTTCTTTCCTTAGAGTCGTCTGTCAAACAGCAAAAATATTTAGGGGTATACTGTTAGCAAGATATGAAGGGTTATTGTTCGTGGCCCCAGAATCTGGGTTCCAAGTGAAGAAAAAGTCACTTGGTGAAATGAAAACTAGTAAAAGTTAAAACAAGATGATTATTATATGTATTGCTGCTAAAACCAAAGTTAAGTTTCTTAGGGATGCTCAAAGTTCTAGAATAAAGGTAGCCTATCTGCCCAGAGCAGCATTTGGCTTGAAGATTTTGAGTATGTTGGCAAAGCATATTTCTTAAAAATGTTTATTTATTTATGTTGAGAGAGAGTGTGTGTGTGAGCGAGCATGAGCAGGGGAGGTGCAGAGAGAGAGGAAGACAGAATCCCAAGCAGGCTCTGCACTGTCAGTGGCTTGAACTCACAGACTGTGAGATTGACCTGAACCGAAATGAAGAGTTGGACGTTTAACCGACTGAGCCACCCATGCACTCCCCAAAAGCATATTTTTTTAATAGCAGAAGAAACACTGATATATTGTGGGGCAGGATGCTGGATTTCCATGAATTTTAAGATGGAACAAGACTTCAGAGAATTTCACTTTCATAGGAGCTGCCTCAGAATATATTCTCCAATGTTCTAGATCAGGGATTGGCCCCCTGGTAAATACGTTAGGCTTTTTGGGCCACCAGTTCTATGCTGCATTTTCTTTTTTGGTTTGGTTGTCTTTTGTTTTATTTCCTAACCATTTAAAAATGTCAACACCACACTCAGCACAGAAGCCCTTCCATAGTTTACCTCTGTTCTAGATGGTCCCTTCATATTTCCTCCACCTCCTGGGGTTCTTTAGTGGTCACATTTGCGAAATACAGGAGTAGCTGTTTTCCAGGTCTCCATGAAAACAAGTATATTCTCTGGCAGGATGGATAGATGGACTGGAACGTAGGGATAGAATTTTGGCCTCTGTGGAAGCATGACTGGCAGTGATTTTGTTACTAGAACTCTGTTTGGAGTTAATAAGGAAAAGAAAAAAAAAAAAAGGAAACTAAAGATTAAAAATTTTCATTATTATTCACAGGAGATTGTGCTCTGTTTCTAAAATCTGGATGTTATGGGGCACCTGGATGGCTCAGCTGGTTAAGCATCCAGCTTTGGCTCAGGGCATGATCTGCAGTTGTGAGTTCAAGCCCTGCATTGGGCTGTTTGCTGTCAGCACAGAGCCCACTTCAGATCCTCCGTCTCCCTCTCTGTCTCTGTCTCTGTCTCTCTCTCTCTCAAAAATAAACATTTAAGGGGGGGAGGGGGGGATGGGCATGGAGGAGGGCACTTTGGGGATGAGCACTGAGTGTTATGTAGAAACTAATTTGACAATAAACTATTTGTAAAAAAAAAAAAAAAGTTCAAAAAAATAAAATAAAATAAAATAAAATGTTTAAAAAAAAATAAATAAATAAAAAATAAACATTTAAAATACGAATGTTATTTATGTAGGCTTAATGACTACATCATCACATGATATTTAAGGCAAGGCCCTGACAGTTACCCAAACTCATTTTCTTTCACCTCAGTACCCACTTGGTTACTAAATCCTGTGACTTTTATCTCCTATAGAATTCTGCCCTGTTTCTCTCTCTATACTCAGCTCAAATGGGCCTTCTTATTGAGCCTTCTCTGATTAACGAGGGCTCTGGTAATCACTAACCCTCTCCCCAGGTCCAGCAAATCTGTGCCTCATTCTTATTATGACCTCTATATCATAACATTTGTTTTTCATGTCTTTCCCTTCTGCCAATCTCTGAGCTTCCTTGTGCTCACCTCAGCAGGCTCTGTGGCATATCTATCTTAGTATCTGCATATGTTAGGAACCCAGAACATGCTTATCAAAAATTAGTCCTGTGAATGGATGAATGGCTATACAGATGTTTTCTGCGGAGCAGGTAGCTAACCTGTTCTGTTGGGTCCCGCCTTGTCAGTTCTGAGTATTTGCATTCCCACTTTATTAATAAAAGTCAAATGTCTCAAAAGGAAGCTTTTTGGACCTTCTTCTAAATTTTACAATGAAATCTATTTGGAAAATCACCTCTGTTAGAAATTCACCTATCCCGCAGGTAGAATTTTCTTAAGGGACTTAATCTGAGGGGCCCCTGGGTGGCTTAGTTAAACGTCTTACTTCAGCTCAGGTCATGATCTCAGTTTGTGAGTTGGAGCCCCTGCATCGGGCTTGCTGCTGTCAGTGTGGAGCCTGCTTCTGATCCTCTGTTCCCCCTTTCTCTGCCTATCCCCCGTTTCTCTCTCTCTCTGTCAAAAATAAACAGTAAAAAAAAAATCTGAATATGAAGATCTCTATTCCAAAGCCTTCTTTCTAAAAGATAACTTATCTAATCAAGGAGAATCTTCAAATGTTTTACTGTAAATAATCTTATATGACATCCTCACAGATACTAGGAAAGGAAAAAGGTTGGGTGGTGGGGAAAGGGGCGATATAAATTCCTCTTTATCACTTGCAGATCAGCTGTATGCCCAGAAGCATAACAATTTAATTAGATATTCTTTGCAGTTTTATCTCTTTTATATAGCTGTAGTTTTTATTCTTCTGTCTATAAATGTTTAATCTCCCATTTTCACCTCACTGAGATGTTTGCCGCAGTTTTCTACAGTGATGAATCCCTGGGACACGTCTCATGAAAACGGTGGCTTGTGCTGTGAATATTGAAGACCTTCATCCAGACAGGTTGAGGCTGCCCCAGTTGCATGTTTAATAGGAGATCTTAAATAGTGTCCACATGGGTGGTTTTCTCTCTGTTAAAATGTTTCTCTTTCTGAGTGTATGCAGTTAGACTTAATGAAAAGAAAACGAAACTATTAGGACACTAAGGGCATGTTAATACTCTCAATGTTACAGTGGTAAAGGAGGGTCAAAAGTGAAGTCACTTTTCCTCTGCCCTTTCTTTATATGCACCGTCCCCTGGATTCCCATGAGATACACTGTCTTGTTAGGTTCTTCTTTGTAGTTCTCTGAATTATCACCATCCTGTGTGAATATACATAGTGCCTGTATTCCTTGATTTAAAAATTAGACTGCACTTGTTTCTTTGAAAGATGAAGAGAAATTTGCATTCTTACAGCTTCTCTTATTTCCCTCATGTAAAGATTATAGCAGTCACATTCTCCTCTGTGACTGTAATAACTATTATAAAATATATAAACATACTTAATATGTATTTTGTTTTAAAGATATTGGTATCTCTTTTGAGCTGTTTAGTTGTGTGAGCAGTCATAGAGGAGGGTATGTATCTATTTTACTAAATCCCTGTGGCTTAAAGGAGAGTGACATGAATGTCAATAGCCAAGAGATTCTCTTAATATTAGCCTTTTCACTTAACTCCTCTGGGTATTTCTTAAAATGTTATTGCTGGTTCCTTTTCCTGTGTTCAGAAACAGTTTTTTTCCCATCGAGTTTCAGTTGGTGCCTGGGTAGATGTATCCTCTTCCCCTGCTATCTTGTACTAGTATGGTCAGAAATGTTAAACATGAGGGTCGCCTGGTGGCTCAGTCAGTTGAGCGTTTGACTTTGGCTCAGGTCATGACCTCTCGGTTCGTGGGTTCGAGCCCTTCATTGGGCTCTGTGCTGACAGCTCAGAGCCGGGAGCCTTTTTCTGATTCTGTGTGTCCCTCTTTCACTGTCCCTCCCCTGCTTGCATTCTCTCAAAAAGAAATAAACATTAAAGAAATTTTTTTAAAGGAAAAGAAATGTTTAACATGAATTAGAAATTTTAAATCCTGTGTTTTGGGCTTACCCATATTTGGTGTTTGGCACAGAAATTGCTGAATGAAGCTGTTTCAGACAATACGTCTTACATACTGTACCAGGATTGGAACTGTCAACTATTTTTTCCTTCTGTGTCAAGATTTTATAAAATAGAACATAGTATTAATGGTCCTTAACCACTAAGTCAAGATATTCTGCTCAGAGGCTACCCTCAGGCTTGAAAGGAATTTTAGGAAGAGGGAGCCTCTGCCCATTTCCACGAGCAGCTGCAGTGATTCTTGCAGTCTTAAAAAAACATTTTTTTTTAAATTTTTTTCTTCTTCTTTTGGGTAGACCAGATTTGCTTTCACTTATTTAGAACCGATTGCTGCCACCATTTCCTTGTAGGCCATGTATTGTTTTTATTCCCCACAGCCTCCTGTTTGGATATGCCCGTGGCATGTGGAAATAATATGAATCTGTCACTTGATTGTCATTGACTTAGCGTGGGAAGCGGTACAGCTTTACAGCATGGCTGCTGTGGGTTTCCTCCCTGTTCTCTTAGGGAACACTAAAAGGGCAAAGAACTTTAAGGTCTTTGTCTCAAATGCTGGTCTAGTACATAATTGTCTAATCATGGTGTACGGGTAATATACTTAAGTAAGCTCTGTGGAAGAATGAGACTATTGTGCACTTTATCTGTTATAGATTTTATCATGAACTCATAAATTCTCTTAACATTGGTTTTTCCTGGAATGCAAACAGAAGTATAGGTGACAGAAGCTTCCCCCCATCTTAACAGCTGTTTAGCTTGCTTTATTTTTCTTAAAACTGCAGCATTTAGAGAGATGGTCCATTAGTAACAGCACTCAGTTATGTTGATACCTACATAGTCCAGAAATTTCTCTTTTCATAAGCAGTTAGCACTAGAAACAAAGCGAGTTTTTCATCTTTTGTCTTATATGTCATAGAAATGTGCCAGCTTCTAAAACTGGGCGATTTTTATCTTAAATATGCTTTGTCTGTTTGTACCCTTCTCCAAAGGTGATATTAACTGATCATTATATTGTAAAGTTACAGAAGGTTGATTTGCCTGAAACATATAATTGGCAGATGTGTATTTATAGACATGTCAGAGAGAGCATATTTAACTATAAGGAATTCAGCAATCGCTTCTGAGCCTTTTGGCTAAGATCAAGTGTAGGAATTCAGCAAGCCTATTTAGTAACTTTATAGTGAGTTTTTAAAATACGTTGCTTTTAACTTTGCAGTACAAAGTTTTTAAAAATAGAAGCCTGATAAGTGAAATGAATTTAATAAGAAAGTAGATCTTTCTCTTACATTGGTGAATGCCTAAGGCCATAAGAACTTACATCTTAATAGGACATGATTTTAAAATTTCTAATACTATTTTACTCTTAAATTATTTCAGTCATACTGTTTAATGGATTATCTCTGAAAGGGAGTATTAACAATTAAGAAATCCTATATTTTAAATTATCAATCACCTACTCTGCCTAAATATGACAAAAATAATTTAACCTTTTTACACTTTGAGATTCATCAGACTTTTATAAATATCAGAAAATAAAATTTTACATAATTTTGAAAAACCCAGAGATTACCTAAAACATATAACATCAGTCATTTATTAGCAAATACAACTCATTCATCTGCTTAACAAAGATTATTGGTAATCTAGGGTGTGTCAGGTACTAGCCTAACATTCACTCTAAAAATTATTTCTTTTCAATTATTCTGCTTTTATTTTATTTTTAAAAAATTTTAAAGGTTATTTATTTATTTTTGAGAGAGAGAGAGTGAGTAGGGAAGGGACGGGGGGGGCGGGGGGCGTGGAGGGAGAGAATCCCAAGCACGCTCCGCACTGTCAATGTGGAGCCCAGTGTGGGGCTTGAACTCACAAACAGAGAGATCATGACCTGAGCCGAAAACCAACAGTCGGATGCTTAACTGACTGAGCCACCCAGGTGCCCCAAATTTGCTATTTTCTTAAAGGAAACTAGATTATTCTGCTCCATTGCTCGGAACCCACACATGATTTCCTTTTATACTTAAGATAAAATTCAAAATCTTTTTCTTGGTCTTACATAGTCTGACATGTACTTAATTCCTGTCAGACCTGCCAGCCTCACTCCTCGTCAGTGCTGTTGCCTGTCCTGAATCCCCTGGTCAGCTCTACTCATCCTTCAGATTTCAGCTTAAAATGCCATTTTTGAAGAGGGTTTTTGCTGAGC